AAAAAAAAAAAAAAAAAAGGTTTGCGTCGATCATCTCTTCACCTCCCAACTGACAAAATTACAACTCGTGGCCGCACCACCTTGACTGCGAAGAATAACAATTCCTACGAGTGCATTGAACCTATGCACAAGCCTACGAAGAGCAAGAATGTGAAAACTAATAACACTATAAAACACCATCAGTCACGTCCAAACTGTTGAAGGGGGGCGGGGGTGACGTTGCACAATGAACTGTGAATGTCAACCGAAGGTTCATGGTACCCCCTCGTGGAACGTAATGCAGCCTTTGTGCACCTGTTCAGTGCCGGAAGCGTTCCGTTTCAATTCTCATTGGTCTTTAAGCCTTCGGTTTGCACATGTTTTGACTCGCATGTTTGTGATTTTACTTTTTGAAGGCAACGCGATATCGAGATTTCTCAAATCATTCAGGAAGGGGGGAACCGGAGAGTTGACACCGGTGTCGCAGATGACGTTATAGACGGCTAGCTGCTACATGTGTCACTATTTTTCAAAGTCATTTTTCAATTTTTGTCGTTGTTGTGTGTATTACTTGTTTCACCGTTAATGTCTCAAAATGGAATATTTTCAGACTTGGAGGTGCCGCTCAAATATGTTGCCGTGGCAATCCAAGATTAGGGACTGTGGTGGACACAAATGTTTTAGCGTTCGCGTATGTTGTCCGCCGACTTTATCTACAAGCTCAGAATTCGAAGTTGCCGGCTACAACTTTTCCTCAACCAGATGTTAACAGCATTATCAGACAACATATTTCATTTTTAGTTGCTTTTTTTTTTCTTTTTAGAACGGGGGTCTGAGTAATATGATCTGGTCTGGTATTGCGCTCGCTAGTACCATCTCGAAACGTCATTGCGATCCTTTTCATACTGACAAGTAAATTATACATCAGTCCAAAGGACTGAAGGGGAAATTAAACTCGGGACTGAAAGCACATTATAGGGGCAAGTCTAAACATATAATCCATCTGATAATAAACTGACAGCTATTGGAGGGTATAGAGCGCTGACTTATAGAGTACAGTCACCAAGTTTGACGGCCAGCAATAATAAATGCAAGTCAGGATCGGACCAAAGCGTAGATTGAAAATGTTTAACGCTTTCAATCTAAGTACGCATGGAGACTTCCGTGATGACAAACATATGACGGTCCCCTGCAAACACCAAGCGCAGTGCAACAGAGGTGGACCCAAAAAAAAAAAAAAAATTGTCATATTTAAACACAATAATTTCCTGTTTGAGAAGGGGAAGGATAACATCTTGGCTGGTCTAGGACACCCTAGACAATGTTTCTACTACAAAAAAAAAGGGCTAAAGTTGAGGAGGAGGAACATCTGGCTGAAGTGTTTCAAATGGATCAGCGCACCCCTTTTCAAGCGCCAAAAAAGTTCATGATATTTGTCAAAACCTGATTGCCGCTTCAGGATGTTGTGCTCATGACATTGTTTTTTACATTGTTTGTTTTATGTGGGGGGAAAACAGGACCACCGATATTATCTCTTGTGTATTACTCGTGGATGATGCCGGTATTTGTCTTGTCTCACCATTTTGTATTCCTTCCACGTTCTGTGGAAATCCACACTGCCGTCTTCTCTGCGCTGGATGATCGTCCATCCACCGCCAGCTGTTTCCATGTTGCAATAGACCTGTTAATCAAAAAAAAGAAAAGAAGAATCGATTTTGACAGGGCAAAAACTGATAGCACCCGACGGACTGCCATTTTTGTAATTTGTCCGACATAGCACTATAGAACTGGAACGTGATGAATTGAATATTTGATGCGATTCTCGGCGGTGTTGAGAAACAATGGCGGGTCAATCATTTCAGGTCATTTCAGGTCATGTTTGGGAACTTAGTGTATCTGCGTTCCACTCCAAATTAATCAGCGTCTCCTTATCCTTTACCAACTCCCCCGAGGTGTTCCTCATCAGAGGGTCCGGATCAAAGAGGAGCTCTGGGATGGACACATACCAGGAGACACCTGGGTGTAATATGGCCCTTAACCTTGGACCTCGGTGTGCGTAAGCTGATAATGCAGGGCCGTGGGTCTATCTGCAGGGTTGCTCATTGTTTTGAGTTTTGAGACACCGGCGTGGAGTCGAGAAGGTCTTTCGCGTCAGCCAGCCCACACAGCTGAACATACATGAACGCTGGCTGAGTCTAATTAAGGAAGTACCCCTGACATGATCGTTTCCAGGAGACTGTCTCACATCCATCTCGTCCATGCACACACAAACGGTCGCCAGCCACCTCGGAGATGATTCGGGCGGCGGGCCTGGATGCAATCTGCTCCTCACCTACTTCAAACCACTGCATTTATCAAATTATCACCTTCATCAATCAGTTGGCGGCCGGCAGCATTGAGATGAAGAGCATATCATCGCACACGCAGGGCCGGTGTCATCGTCATGTTCGGCTCCGTGTTTGGCTTCACACCTCACCCCTCGCCAAATTCCTGCATTTTCAAAGCTCGCCAAGAGTATTCACAGCTTGGACTCATCAACGGCACTCATCAGTGGCAGATGTCCCGCGGCGACTCGGCGTCTTTCACTCATTTGCAAAGAGTCATTTGGATCCAACGCAAAGAATATAATTGGTTTATTCTGAAGTGACGATGGAAGTGTTCACGCCGAGCAATGATTTCTTTAAACCAACGATTGTGGTGTTCACACTGAGTGATGAGCTCATGTGACATCGGGGTGTTTTGTGATGCGCTTTTCTTGTGGTGGCGCCTCACCCTTTTGTTCTCTTGCGAGTTGATCTGGATGTTGTAGACGCCATTCTTATGAAAGCCAGCCTGGTAAAGGTCAGCACAATCGCGGAACTTCTTTTCTTCATCCGGGACTTTTGGGACTGCAGATGGGGGAAAAAAAAAAAGATGAGTGCGGCGATCACTGAAAACAGAATACTGAGCTTCGGATTTATATTTGATCAAGGTGCATTGCAGGCTTGGTGTGGGTGTGATTGGAGGTCCTACTCAGACATTTGGGGATTCAAATTTAGTACTGTATCTCGAACAATATTTTTGCAGACTGACTCATGGCCAGCAAACCTGTCTCAAGCATTGTGAACATAACTGACATTTTTTGGCATCTCGTCACACTGCATCTCAGCCCGATTTGCTCGGCGAGAAGATGATTTTGGCCCACTTTGTCCATTTTCTAACCGCAATAATCAAAGCCTTTGAAGTGAGAGCCACTGTCTGTTGGTCCCCGAGCTGCCACTAATTCCAGAATTGCAGCTGTTGAGCTCTTCAAAATCCTACTGAAGTCACCGTGAACACATTTTTCTTCTTAATCGAGAGCCCTTTTTTAGCCTTCTCCTCGCTGTATTGTCACCTCTCACCTGGTCTATTGGTCCTTCTTAGCCCATCTAATCATCAGCAGTACTTTTGCCATCCACCTGAGGTTTGTTACTATGTCCCTGTTACATCTTGAGATTGTTTGAATGTTTCCCGATTCGCCGCTAAAAAGCCAGAAGCAATCCGACCGGGGCCGCTTCTTCTTCTTCTTCTTCATTGACTTGTCCATGGGCTGTCCGCAAACGATACGCTGCTCTAAACCTCTTCTGATGATCAAGTTCATTCCCGTGTTTGTATTCTGTCAGAGTCAGTCACAGCGCAAAAATGGGAAAGCAGCCATTCATACTCAACTTCACTCCCGTGGCCAAATTAGTCTTCCGTTGACCCGCCACGGTGGGAATGGAAGTACCAAGAGAGAACCCACGCAAGCGAGCAGAACACGCAAACTCCACAAAAGAGATGTTAGCCAACATTCAAAAAGAGGGTCGACGAGATATATCGGCCCGTCTGTTTTAAATCATAACTGTCTTTTGTGGCTAGTGTGAATACCTGAAGCCAAAAGTACATCTAGTATAAAGCCTGCCTTTGTAGTTAGTTCCCCGCCAATTTCTCCCCAAATAAAAACGGCACTCTTTTCCGCAGACGGTAGATTAACGGTGATTAAAATTCAAAGTACATTTTTTCCTATTGACAGTCTTCATTTTATTTTATTCCGAAATAAAGTTTAACAAGAGCAACTTTTAACCGTGACGCTCTCGTTTCGACGACTGGAGAGTCAGAAGGCAGAATTCTGAGAGACGGCAACGTCTCGCAGCGAGTATCTTGTAACTTCAAGATAAAAATCTGAGGTCAACTATCTTATTAGCAGAAGAACCGGAGTTCAGCGACCAGATTCCCCGCTCTCTCCAAGTGGGCTTCAAACTTTGACAGAGCAGCTGCATCCATTTCCATCTGTAGATAATTATGGCTGCACTATTTTGAAACCAAGCATGAGGCTACGGACAAAATACTACAAGCTATAAATTTCAAGTTCCTGTTATAACAAGTGGTTTATATTTACTTTCCAAGCCTTGTTATAGTGATGGAAATTTCCTTCAGATTTTCTTTTTTAACATCCTCTTCTTCTGTGACTTTCCCCTCCCACTTAAGGGGTTCACGTCAGTTTTCACCCCATTGTTTTTATTGTTATAGTTGAGGAGTCAAAGAAGATGTCGCTGGAAAGTGAAATGAGTCAGTGATCCTTTGCTTTTGCTTTGATCTGCCTGTGCTCGTAGCACCCCCCTCTCCTTTGGAAGTGGGTCGTTTATTTGGCTGCGCTACAGTATTTGACCATTTTGACAAAGTATTGAGTGTCAGTGACAAGACTCTCCTGCTGGGACAGGTCGACATTGCGCGCCCTTGCACCCCAGATTCTAATACAACAAAGGATAGCCCTGTCAGGCGGTAATTTACCCCAAGCAGGCAGACAGCGGGGTACTTTTAAGGAGCCTGGGAGGTTAATGTCAGTGATTTTTTTTTTTTTTTGGGGGTGGGGGCTGAAATTTGGGTTAACAATTATTCCACAATAGCTACTGAGATTTCCCAAAGTGGAGGAAAACCGCTCTGGGACTGGAAGTGGCGCTGTAAGGCTGGTTCCCTTGTACCGCTTTCTGCCCAGATCTCCAAATATTATTGATGTCCCAATATTTGTTTGCAGTAAAATATTTAGTGGTTCAGTGGGGACTCATATTCAGTAGGGGGTTCATGTGAAAAGACCAATAGGCCTTGGGTGTTTGCGTAAATCAGTACTTGTGCCAAATGAGCCCAAATCCTGGAACTGAAGAGAGTGAAAATTGGAGCTAAATGGACTGCTATAGACATCACAGCTCCCATGTGACCGCAATCAGTCTTTAAGTACAGCCGAGCTTGATTCGCTACAAGAGCCGATGAAGTTCTTACCGCATATTTCTTTGAAGGATTCACAGCACGACAAAATAATGTCAGTACTATTTCACGGTATTCTGTTCACTCGCACACAGGCACAGATATTGGAAAAGACATTCAAAGCGACTTTGAATGGAGCACTTTTGATCTCGAAAGGGAAAATGGCCATCGTTCTAATTGCTGCGCGCCATCATACAAAAGTACGACTTGGGCATAAAGATTTGTTCAGTTTATTTTAAACAAAAGGAGCAAGATATAAAAATATATGCTCATAATGATCTTTTTTTGCAATTATATTTTGTTCAAAATAAATAAATCAGCCTCATTCCTTCTGCAATAAAAATGATGAATAACACTCGTTCCATGAGATAGCAGAAAACTGTAAAACAAATTCTCATTTTGCCAGCGACTTTAAAAGCGGGCTCCAAAGCTGTGGTCAATTACTTTTAATGGCAGTCTGCGGCTCATTGCACCCTAATGAGCTTTGGGTAATGAATACAATTTAAACAAATTGCTCCATCGAGCCACATCAAAAATATCTGTTTTCACTGCAATATTGGAAAACACACATGGAAAAAGTTGTACATGTACTGCTTGGGGTGGGGGGGGGGGGGGGTATATACAAGATCCGTGTTGTGAAAACTGAAATGACTAGCAGACATGAGTCAGCATATTATTAGGAAAATAAGACCAAACTGCTTTAGATTTCGAGAGCAATTTCATGTCAATATGCAGCAGTTAATAGAAACCGCTGCCCACCGTTTATGAACGGTGATTCCAAACATAATCCCCTTGACTTGTACGCATTTATACTAACCGCAAAAACAGAGACGCATACGAAACAAGTAGCTACTTTAACCCTTTCGTGCACCCTGTAACCCGACAACACGATAAGCTGTCCACTGCAGTAACCGCTGCCCCTCCAAGGGTTAACATGTTCTTCGGATTGTTTGCTGGTGATCTGAAGTGGAAGCAACAAAGAACAGAATCTAAAGCCACCCACAAGAAACGTACAGTGCAATGAAATGCACCCCCCCCAAAAAAAACACTCATACAACCCCAAAACAATTAAAATGAAAACAAAATACATAAATAAGTCATGTGTTATGCAACCTCCCCTCCCCCCAAAAAAACACTCATACAAGCCCAAAACAATTAAAATGAAAACAAAATACATAAATAAGTCGTGTGTTTTCAAATGTGGCCAGTGCGTCGAATGATCAGTGAGATCCATCCAGCCGCCCGTCCTCTCGTTCACACGGGACATCCCTGAGGAACTATTACAGTTTGACTTCTTCAGGCGGGGGTGGAGGAGGGGGGGATGACCTCTAACCTGCACACCCGCCTCAACCCTGAAAGGCACGGCTAAATGTTACATAAACAAATCCAGACTAAATGGATGGATTACATGAAGGTCAGCTTACCCGCAACCTTATATCGCATGGCCCATTAATATTACAAAAGCAAGCAGCATTTATTCATCATTTTCGGCAGCTTTCCGCTCATGACGGCAGAATGTCTTGTGTTGACAAATCTCACGAAGCGCTGCGGGGGTTCTTGAAACTCGTGCCACGAGTACAGTGACGCATCCATTCTTGTATGATCGCTCATTTAGAATTTTGTGTTTGTGATGAAAACATCGAAAAAAAGAACCGCATTTGATCAAAATAAGGTCATGTTGGGCTTAACGGAAGATTTGTGAGTTGATATTATCTCAGGTGTGTCAGACTCAGAGGAATAAAAGGTTCGTCATTCCTTCCAATCAGTATGCGCAGCTGTTTTTGAAATAAAGCACGGAAACCAATTGTTGTAAATCGAGTACCACGATGGTTTATGAAAGCCACTAAGCCTCTTTAACAGAAGCCGCCAGGTTAAAACGAGAACCACATTGTTCGCTTTCATTGCTTCAGATTTTCACAGGCACCGTGTCCCCGCGTTTCCTACGCGTAAGATTTACACAATGGTGTCATCCGAATTCCAGGAGGATTGGAAAATCTGTGCTCTTTGAAGATGCAGCAACTGCCCAGAGAAATAAAGTATTTCAAAAGAAGTTTATGGTGCACTGGTTTGAGATTTAGTCGGTCAAGCAGTTTTCTCGACACTTTGTGGTCTGACGAGGACCAATTGGCCATTCTCTCGGGTTTGTGACCGGAGGCTTGCATCCAAGGACCACATGAGTAACGCGTGGGCCTTTTCCAAAATTAGCTGACTATTTTTGTGACGTTAAAAATGTAAACACTTGCCCATCTTCATACCGTAGAAACCACCTTATCGATTAATTGTTGATGATTGGTGTGAGAATGTCGTCTTCTCATAGATGAACATCTTAAGTTTTTAACTTCTCTCGGGTTTGTGACCGGAGGCTTGTGTCCAAGGACCACATGAGTAACGCGTGGTTTTCCAAAATTAGCTGACTATTTTTGTGACGTTAAAAATGTAAACACTTGCACATCTTCATATCGTAGAAACCATGTTATGCATTGATTTACCTTATCGATTAATTGTTGATGATCGGTGTGAGAACGTCGTCTTCTCATAGATGAACATCTTAAGTTTTTAATAATACCATTGACTGATGACTACCAGGGACCTTGTGTGGGGGCACTTGGGAATTGTTTAAAAAGAAATTAATACTATGTCTCCTTTAAAAAGAAAATGATGACAATATTGAGATGCTATCTGAAGCAGATTTCATGGCATTACTTGGCAGCCTTGGCAGTCAACTTCATGAAAGAGCGGAGCTAAGGCAAAGATCCTGGGAATCGAATCCTCAGGGGGATCCAAAATACGCTGCAAAAGCAAAACCAACAGCTTGTCCAATAATTCTAAAACCTCTCAGCTAATGTCAGGCGAACCGATAGTGTCGCCCTCCATTGAACTTACCGCCATCTTTGGAGCAAAGATTGAGCAGGTTGTGGACGGTGTCCATCATTTCCTGCTGCTGCCTTTGCAGGGCGGTGCTGTTTCCCGTGGCCTGGCTCAACTGGGCTTCGAGCTCATTGATAACCCCGCTCTGCCTCCCGACAAGAACCTGGAGACTTCCTTTCTCCTGCTTCAGAGTCTCCAATTCTTCGTGGTGCCTCATCTCCATCGCTAACATCTTCTGCTCCAGGAGGCTGCAGGAAAAGTTGAACAGAGAAACACGACCGATTGAGAAGAATGGATTGTTTTGAACACATTTACACAATTTCATGGAACCAATATTAGAAGTGAGGTTGGAAATACAGGTCAGTGCGGCCTAGAGTAGGCCTTGCTGGCCCTTTTTTCTCTCTCGCGCACTCACTGCATGTTCATACAGTATACTGTATGTATTGTGTGTGTGTGTGTGTGTGTGTGTGTGTGTGTGTGTGTGTGTAAAGGGAACACTTAAACAGCGCAATGCAACTCCAAGTCTTCCCTTTATTTATATAAATTTCTATATTTATGTATGTATATGTGAATATACATGTTTTGCCCTCCTCTCTTTTTGATTATCAGTTGTGTGATGCATACTATGAACTTTGCATTGGATAATTAGTGACATCAGGCATATGCTATATCATTTCTATTTCAACTACTAACCTTCCTTTATGTTCTAGCTGGATTTGCTGGAACTGTTACTTGAGGTTTACCTGTTCTTGTCATGGAGCTTGTTGATCTCATTGGTCTGGACCATTAATTGCTTCTCCAACTTGTTCGTAGAAAGAGAATTTTCCAGCAGTTGGATCTCAAGTCTGGATGTTTGATTCAAAACCTGAGACATACAGACACACACACACACACACACACACACACACACACACACACACACACACACACACACACACACACACGGATTCTCCTTTAGCAGATCGAAACCATTAAGACATCATCAAATCTATCAGTGTAATTTAAAAAAACAAAACATTTAAAAACTAGTTGGGTAAACATAAACATAACAAACAGAACATTACCTGTGTCTCAACATCAGTCAGCTTCCGGGTTTGTTCCGCAGTTTTAGAGAGAAGGTTGGTGCCCATTTCCAACATGGCTGCTGTGTGGTTGTGTACAGCGCTCTGCTGCAGTTGTGCCATCTCTGTTTTCATGCTTTCTTTGATGTAATTCTCAATCTGGATTGAAGGTGAGAGAGAGAGTGAATTAAAATCCAATCAAAGTGAGTGAAAAAGTCAATAATTAGATCCAGCCGCACCCCTGAAGACCGGTTGCTTTTTAGGTAACAAAGATGATGACATTCAATCAGTTCACTGACAATCAAAAATGGGGTGCCACAGTGATCTATCCTTGAACCGCTGACATTTACCCTATACATAGACAATATGTTGTCCAGTCATTCTTCCCAACAAGTACTTTAATATCCCCCTTTTTTTGTTGATGATTGCATTTTATATCGCCTGGTTCCAAATAAATGGATGTGATGGATGGATTGTTGTAATAGGAATGAAAAAGATTTGCTTTCCAACTAAAACATGCAGTCCTACAGTTGTGGTCTCTTGTCGGTGTAATATCCTCACTTGGCACAGATGAAAAAGTGAAACAGTGCGTTGTTTTTTTCTTCCCCAGTCGTGGGACACTCTCTGAATTATTTACCTTGCACCGATATTAGCTAACAGTCTACTGTGGTCTTGGCTGTAAAATAGACAGTGAAACTAATTTGGAATTATGGTTCTTGTAAGGTAAGATTACATTGCATTATAGTGAATCACATAGTATGACTTTGTTTAAAAAATGATTTCAGTCCATTGTGAAACACAAAACCACTGAACTCTGTGGATGGTGTAGGTTGTTTTTGAAATAGCCTTTCAAAACTTAAGCTTTACACTGGAGGTTTGTCCCTCTGCTGACGACCGCATGAGATTTAAGACAATCTAAAGTCACCTTGAGAGAAAAGGTAGTGAAAGCACAGATGGCTGACCGAAACTTGAGCAGTCACGACACGTCTTTCGGGAAACGTGACAGGCTGCTGACTGAATGTAGTGCCACAAAGTTTTAAGGAGAAACAAAATTACACAGGCACACCCAGTCACCCAAATTTGGAAGCTGTAAAATGGGACCATGTGGGTGTTGATTCTTAAAACTTTCTCAGCACCAGCTACTATTAGCACTGTGCATTTTTGGTCATGAAAAAAAAAAACAATGGAGACAACTATAGGAAATGATACAACGGCATGAATGCCAAAAAGAGTGAAACTACCACATTTGGCACACACGGTGGGGGTGGGGAGACAAAACGTACACCTTGAGGCTTACATCTTACTGGCACTGCTTTTATTCGATCAACACCGGTTTTTGGCCAGGAATTGACACGTTCGATTCAATAAATTAACTTGAGGGACATAAAAATAATACGTTGATGCAGCATGAAGGCTGGCCAGCACCAGCTCTGCTGAGATATTGAAAAGGGTGTGTTGCTCCTAACATCTAGCATTTAAAAAATAAAAAAAATAAAGTTCATTTATTTATTTTATTGAGTGGTACAAATACATTCCTAGCGCAACCCAACGTCTGGCTCCTAACATCTGGCATTTAAAAAAAAAAGAAAAAAAAAGTTCATTTATTTATGTTATTATTGTGTGGTACAAATACATTCCTAGCGCAACCCAACGTCTGAGAATGCACCGTATTTACTTCCGAGATGTGACATTTCTCACACTGATTAATCTTTAAGCCATTGAATTGGATTTCAGAGGCTTATTCGGTGAATGGAAAATCTGTGGCATATCTCTTCTGGTGGTTTAATGCGGTCTCCAAGATCCGTAATTACAAGCTATTAAAGCAAGTGTGTGTTTTATTACATCTTATATCGGATCACTTTAAGGCTTTAAGTCAAACATATGTCGGCATTTCCTTCCGTGGTCGAAGGTTGCAAAAGTGGAATTCAAATTAAAAAAAAAAAAAACACCAATTGCTTGAGAATAGAAATACATTTGGCCTTTCGATTACAAAGCTTTTGACTTTTGAAGAGACATTCCAGAAGGTGAAATAACACGAAGGTTGCAAAAGTGGAATTCAAATAAAAAAAAAGTTTAAAAAAAACACCACTTGCTTGAGAATAGAAATGCATTTGGCCTTTCGATTACAAAGCTGTCGACTTTTGAAGAGACATTCCAGAAGGTGAAATAACAGGAGGCTCCGTATTTAGAATTCGGAGTCTGATTTTCCAAAAATCACTGCGAGAGACATGCTTGTGTTTCCTTAAGTGGTTCTGTACACCGAGCTCTGAAGCTTAATGTGGTTGGATCATTCCCGTGAACTTCTAAGTGTGTGACTTCACGAATGATGCAACTTGACAGTTGAACACTGGTCCGTACCATTGCATTAGCGGTACAAATGTTACATATCAACGCAGATTTATCCACATAAACTGTATTGTATGCAGACATTTTATGAGGTACAATTGGCTTGCAACTCCAGCAGCGCAACTGCTTTGAGTTATCCACGACATAAATAACAATGTATGTCACATAAAAAAGCAAATGTCAAGATCTGGATCTCTCAAATTTTAAGAGCAAAGAAAAAAAAATGCTGTCCATCATTGCAAGAGGACAAGTGTTTAGGTTACTGAACGCACTGTAATGGGTGCGGGCTTTCAAGCAGAACATCAAAACGGCCGCGTGAGTGTCCCCATACATTTGCTGTCCTTTATCACGGCAGAACTGCGAAATTGCTTTCACTTGGGAGCCGAGAACAGGATCATCTCTCAAGAGCCTACACCCTGCTATCATTGTTACAGATGACTGTGAATGTTCAACACTTCTCCACTGTTTGCCTTTTAGAGAAACATCCCTTTCAAAGGGTGGGTGTTTGGGGGGGGGGGGGTCTTCATATTTTTCGAAACAGCAGCAGTGCTGGTGCTGAAAATTGGAAAATGGTAGATCCGGAGCGGATGTAACCTTTAGCAGGGAACTGTTCCATCTCTGCTTATGGATGCGGACTGTAACTTTTAAAATGAATGTGGGAAGACACTCCACCACCGACACTCAAATCAGCACCTCTTTTTGGATCCCAAATCACTGGTCAGAAGAATGTAAAAATGATTTAAACGCCACCATATATAGATTTTTTTTTTATTCCATGCGTTTGACAGTCACGCAGCATTCAACAAACCTCATATACACTATGCGGTTCCTCTCACTTCCATTATCTGACCGAGTCGACTGTTTCTGTCTATTAAGATTACAGGTTTGCATGCTGAAATTCCTCGCCCTACCAATTACTAAATTCCTCTCTTGTTGACATTCCTGCTTCATCTTTTTCTGATTCTGGAAATTCCCTACCTTACTTCATGGGAAAGCTTCATGAAAACGGATACGTGACTCTTGTGTCATCTCCGCGCACCTCCCTTTCTTTCAATTTGCCAATATTTGCTGAAGCTGTTTTCAAATAATGTCAATATTGCTGTTATGGCGATGATACACCGACTGTGTCTTCATCTTCCTCGGCCCAAGACACGAATGAATTTGGCAGACTCTCTCCCTGATCTCCACTCCGCAATAACTTCATGTTGAAACCGCTACGATCCTCAAATGCTGCGAAACACAACGGGACCACAGATTTGTGGGCTTATCACCTGGAATTTTGATTACTTCCTTTCCCGTTTGGTATTTTCCTCACCGTTTGTTCTTTTATGATCCATTTCACATGTCTAATCCTCTCACATGTCTAATATACAGCTCGGGAAAAGAAACAAAGAATTGTGTATGTTCTCGAATAGCTCACTGACAATCCAAAGTGAATTTGACACCCCCGCAGTGAAAATTGAGCTCAGAAGTAACGCTAAGGTTCGATCGGACCGTCGTTCACTCACTCGCGTATTATGGTCAAATTATGTACATGGCCTTTGGAAGCTGCCTTACGGAGTGTTTGTTTTTAAAGGCGGTTTTAAGGCTCTCCGTCTTCAACGCTGTCATCATTAGGTGAGTAACAACTTAGTCGGAACTCACAGTTGACTGGTGTGACCTCTTGTCCCCGTGGCCAAATGCCAGTCATTGACTCAAACACATTTTTGGTTTGTCATAGAATGTCAAAAAAGGGGCAACATAAATCCAAAAATAAGATGGGAAAAGATGTCCCATGTGTGTTTTATGGCGTGGAATAATTACCCATTGTTTCGCCACTCAATTCTATATATGTCAAGTCATAAATACAAATTCAAATAAACATTGAGAAGTCGATATATTCCACGCAAGTATATTTTCCCATATTATCCGATTACGGTGCGGCTCTGGATGCTTTGTATGATCGTACGGGACAGGATGGGCCCAAGACATGGGAATGCATTTAAAACCAAACAACAACAAACTCAGACCAATTTTCTTCCTCTCAAAATGGTAAGAGTGAGTGGGGAAGCTTAAGAAAGATTTAGTTGTGTGACGCTGGATGGGAATCTTTCCTGTGGGACACGTTGGGTCAGGAATGCGCCCGATTACGGCTTTCTTGTGTCATTTAGTACAGGCAGCGACGGTTGCCCTCCGATAAACACGCACGTTAAAGCTCCCTCATCCAGATGGTGTGCTGATCTCCAAATTTCAGTGAACGATTTCGAATTCTAATTCACAACATTCCCATGTACGCTCTTAAATATATGAGCAGAACATTTCTTCTGCCGAGAAACATAGAAATAGATGCAAAAGGTCACAGTCATGACACAAAACAGTGCAACTTCTTAGAAACTTGGTTCTACGGTTCTGTGCGTGTGTGTTCTTGTCTTGCCTTCAAAGCACTTTTATTGTGTGGACATTTTTCAATTTGGCCGGCCCACACAAGCAAAATCCTGAGTTAAGCTCCTTTGACGCAAGTGCTGTGTGTGTGTGTGTGTGTGTGTGTGTGTGTGTGTGTGTGTGTGTGTGTGTGTGTGTGTGTTGCAACACTATCTATCAAGTCGGGTGTCTCCTCTAATCAAAATTAATGGACATTTAATAGCGGAGACTGTTTCCTACACTGTCAGATTTTTGTTTAATTTTCATCCCAACATCCTATTTAGCATGGTTTCCAGGATTTATGCGCCCATCTTTGCCGTTGCGTGGAATCACAAAAGGAGATATCTCCAAATTGAGTTGAAATTTAAGACCATGTTTTCTCACTTTCTCCCCTTGACTCCCCGTATAATACA